AAAAAAAAAAGTTTAAGAACAAGTGTTTATTCCATTTTCACTACCTTCTCCATAACAGGCCTTTGCAATTCTGTGGGTTTTTGCCGAAATTTTATTTCAGTACCATTTTATATTAAATCATTTTACAATTATATGTGTAGTTTTTAGAGTCCAGGAGAACATTTAAGAAGCCTGCTGAATGTGTACAATTATTATAGTTCTGCTCTATGTATTGAGAAGGCACCCAAACTATTTCCCAATAAAATGTTCTGTACTTCCCAAATTTACCATAACCAAAATGCATTCACAAGTTTCTAAATTGTTTCCTTGGGAAATGTCTCTTAAACTATCTGAGGTGAAGGACTATTCTTTCATATGTTGGGGTATTAACCACTAGGTCAACAGTTTGAAACTATCAGCCATTCCTTGGGAAGAAATGAAGCCTTCTACTTCTGTAAAGATTTACAGTCTTGGAAACCCACTGGGGCAGTTCTACTATGTCCATTAGGGTCTCTATGAGTTAGATTTAACTTGGTGGCAGTGAGGTCTTGGTTTGAAAATAAAAATGAGTTGCTGGAACAATAAGATTAGCTAAAGAACAAAGGCACAAAATACAAGTTTCAGTATATTGTTATTAGATTCAACAATTAACAATTATTCTGCCAAATCACAATAATCCCACTGCCATAGTATTGATCTCAATTCATAAGGTACAATCAAACTGTCCCATAGGGTTTTTGAGCCTGTACGTCTTTATGGGAGCAGAGAGTGAGTGGTAGATTCCAGATGCTGATCTTGTGGCTAGAAGCCCAATATGTAACCATCTATTCCACCAGGGCTCCCTCAAAACACTACAGAAGTTTATAAATGCTTCCTCTCAATTGTAAAATCACCTTTACCTCTGGTCCCTGGACCACACTATGGTACTGTCTGCCACTATGAATGGTATGCTAATAACCTAGTTATTTTGGGTTTGTTTCAACACTGGTAAAAATGAAACAAAATGTTGATATGTTAGCCATCATCTTATTCATTTTTTTGGTAAATATCTTTTAGCAGAGAATGAATTACACAATCTCATTCAAATGCACAGTTCTGAACTACTACTTCACATATTCTTGTCCAAATCTCCAGACCTACACCAGTACCATTTCCTTTCTTTTATATAGGGCAACCTTGTACTCTTTGATATTGAATTACTTCAGGCAAAGGAATATCGACATTATTTAGCCACCTAAAAGTCCAGATTCCTTTTACAAGTAGAAGAGCAAAATGTAGGATGATATTGGATTTTTTCCAGGCAAAGAAGCATTGACATTATTTAGCAAGAGAAGTCTAGATTCCTTTTATAAGTATAAAAGCAAAAAGATGAAACAAAATCTGATTTCAAAAGTACCCATAAGATATACATATTCAGACTACATGAAGGATGCTCACCCATTGTCTGCTCATGTATAAGTCTACATCCAACATCCTTTTCTGTTCCACCTGATTACATTCCACATTCCTGGGACTACCCTGCCCTTTTCCACAACTCCAAACACAGAAAACTCCCAATATCAGCTTTCCTTTTGATCACAAGTCTTTTTCTTGAGACATCAATATATTCTATGTCCAGAAGAATTTCTTTTAAGCATCAATTTCTCTTTTTCATTAGTGTCCTGTAGGAACATTGTCACTTAAAGAGAATGCCAAGGTTTATGCTGTCTCAGTTATATTTTTGACAGTAAGTAGAATTAAAACCTCTCTGAATGGAATATATAGAATGATTTAAAAATTTCTTTTAAAATGCTATTGACTGTGCAAGTTTTCCTTAAAAAAAAAATCTAGGTCAAAAAAATTAGTTCAAATGGCTGCTGTTGCTCTTTACAGCAGATTACACATACAGTAATATGGTTCAGAATAAAATATAGTAACATTAAACAACATATAACAATATTACATATAAAATATTTCTATATGACAGTATATAGGAGAAAAACAGGAGTCATTCAGTAGCACAAAGGAGCTCTTGCGGTGGCATGGGTTACATGCTGAGCTGCTAGCTAAAGGCCAGCAATTTGAACCCACCAGGAGTTCCGTAGGAAAAAGATGAGGCTTCTGTTCTCCTAAATCTTATGAACATTGGAAACCTACATGTTCAGTTCTACTCTGTCTTGTGAGGTCACTTTGGGTCAAATCAACTTGATGGCAGTGAGTTTGGTTTTGTGAGTTTGGATAGCACATCTACAAGCCTGAAGGTTGGAACTCATAATTCACCTAGAGGTTCCTTGGAAGTCAGGCGTGGCAATCCACTCTGCACACATAGAGTTGTAAAGAGTTAGAATTAATTATATGGTAACTAGCAACAAATTGGGAACTGCAATTTAAATAAAAGCAATTGTTTACTCAACTTATAATTTTCTATTGCTCTAATTTCTTATAAATCTATTGTACAAATAAGTATTCATAAATATTATGTTCAAGTGTTAACCTAAGAAAGGAAACATATATTCGAGGAAGAATATTTAGAAGAAAAAGACAGATTATTTTGACATAGTGATTAAGTGTTGGACTGTATTCCTCAAGGTCCGCAGTTCAAAACCACCAGGCACTCCACAGGAGAGAAAGACTGGCTTTCACTCCTGTACAGTCTAAGAAACTCACAGGAGCAATTCTGACCTATGCTACAGGGTCGCTATGAGTCGGCATCAAATGGATGGCAGTGAGTTGGTTTTTTTCCCCTTTGTTTTTCTGTTTTACAGCACCATGCTTTTTTAAAACAAAATAGCAAAAATACTCCCTGAGAGTGGTTGGGAGGGATTGACTGGTGGGTACGTATCACTGGCCCAAAAATATAGTACATGTCATTTGCTTTTAAATATTGATTTTTAAAAACATTAAATAAATGACATCTGAAATGTATATATTTTATATAATAAAATATGATCTTACCCTTTTTTTGGCCACCACAGCAATTTTGGTATCTGCTTTGGATGTATCTGTAACAGAATAAAATATGGCCGCTTGGACTCAGTACTTAAAAACAAGGTTGTACTACCAGACTTTCCTCCTTTCTCATACTGTGTTAGCAATCTTTATTCCATTGCTCCCTTTGATTGAAATTGAGAAATAACCTCAATTTTCTAGATTGAGAAGAGTGATGAAATCCTTAAATAGTATCAGAAATTTGTATACTTACTTGACAAACCTCCTCCCGTAATTTGATGGATTTGTAGGGCATCTTAGAACTATCACCTAGCTTAAGACATGGAAACTGTGCCCACTGCATTATGCAAGTTCCGTATACATTTAAGAATTATTTTAGACTGGAATGTTCCTCAAACCAAGGATCACATCTTATATGCAGTAGGTATGAAATAGTTTTTATAATTTATAGATGTATATGGAGTTTTTCATTCAAAATCTTAAACTTGCATGAATTTGAAATATATCTTTTTCTGAACAAGTTAACATAATCTGTTATTTAAAATACACAGGACATCTATTTGACATAGCTATTATATTATATAGATGATATGATATACAAAGCAATGTATATGTTCTCTGAGATTCAGTTTCCTTATTGATAAAGCATAAGTGATAATACTCCATTGGTATATTTTGAGATTTAAGTAACATAATCGATGGAAAACTCCTAAAACAATGCCAATTGAAGGTAATCAATAAACATTCTCTTCGATTTTTAACTAGAAAAAAATAGCTTAGATTATGTCTGTGGATGTGTTTGTAATCTTAACCTATAGAATATGAAGAGAAACAGTTACAGCGATAATTTATTTCACTGTTATATCATAATTTAAGTGATTACATAACAATTTCCTTTAAATAATCACTCTAGTCATTTTAACCTAGTTGGGAAAATTGATGAGTAATGATAAAATAGCAAAACATTGCAAGATACAGGATAAAACCTAAAATCTCATTATATACCTAAGACTTATTAAAAAATATAGTGGAATTTTATAAGAAGGAATAGGTATGTTATAACTTGAAAATAAATAAAGTTATCTGTTTTGTATTAAAGACCTCTAATAAATATAAAAGTCATGAAATATCAATTTGTAAAATAGTTAAACTGCACAAAAAAGAAACTCAAAACTACAATTAGATATAGTGAATCCTAAGAGAGGACTAACCAAAACACAATGAAAATTTATTGTTTTTCTTCAAACTATAGCTTATTCTTATGCGCAATTTCCTTTATGGAGATGAACTACTAACAAAAACATCTACAGTGTTGTTCAAGGTGCTTTGTATGTTCATAAGTTTCAGAACCTTCCTCTAATGCAATAGGAGAGCCTTGAGGAGTAATAACAGCAACTCTGATTTGCAAATGCCAAAGAGAAATTCTGATATAATGCTTAAAAGATTACAATCACTAAAAATAACAGTGGGTTTGTGTTGGATCTCGGCAACATGACTGTTACAGAGCTGAATTTTCCATAGGGAGAACATTTAATTTCCTCCCTTTGGAGTTTTTTGTATTCAGGGACCCTCACCAGAGTGAAAGCAGTTAAAAGGAAACATGGATTTGGATAGAGACTTTATAAAACTGGCTTTGCTCCTCTTTGGAGCTGTATGCAAGTCCTTTTATTCTGAAAGTACAAAAAGGATCTGCAGGTAGCAATTGCAAATTTCCCAAAAGAGTAGAGGCCTCATGATCCAAAAGAGATGTTAAAAGATTTCTTATTTACAACCATATTAGAGAGGAAGAAAATAGGAATAGAATATAGTGGTGTTTCTCCTTTACATAATTTTCCATAAAGTTTGTCTAGTCATAGCCTCTGAAAAGTGATGTCAATATATGCTCTTTCAATGTGACAGCTCAGAGCTGTACTTTCTCATAAAAGTACAGTTAGGGATATCCATTCTGAAATATCTAACATGTAAGAAAATATTGTCCTAAAAATAATAAATCTAGAGTATAAAGGGACTATGTAAATAACACCCTAATGTTCTTTTATGTATAATGACTGCTTCTATCTGAAAAAAGGAGCCGAAGTGGTGCTGTCGGGGTAAGCACTGACTGTTAACCAAAAGGTCGGTGGTTCAAACCCACTACCAATCTAAGGAGGCAAGATGAGGCTGTCTGCTCCCCCAAAGACTTACAGCCTCAGAAACGCTAGAGAGAGGCACTCTCAGTCAGACTGATTTGATGGCAGTGGGTCGAGCTTTTCTTTTGGTTCATGCACTTAAAAGAATCACTTATTCAGAGTCATAGCTTCTACAACAAAAAGTACAGAGCAACTAAGTAAAGTGGATACTAGTTTGAAATTTGAGGTCATATGACTGAGTTTATACAAGGGGGCTTCAAAAAGTTTGCGGAAAAATGGAATTGAATGATAGTGGAGTTTTTCCATGGACTTTTAAAGTCCCTTTACATTTACCTTTGAGATTTCAACATGAAATAGTCTCATCAAATATGATTGTGTGTCCATTTCTGCAGGGTAGGAAGCCTATGCACCTGAATATTACCAGTGCTAATATTATCAGTGCCACAATTATCAACTGTTGAGTAAAGAAATCTCAGCGTTCCTGGAATTAAACAAGTGGTTTGTCTCTGAGCTTCTCGCCTTTGAGACGTCGGAATAAATGGTTAACTATCTCACAATGCTACGTTAGAATACATACAGTAAGGACTTACATTTTGTACCCAAATCCACTCTGGATGAAGGAAACAAAAGCTTCCGAGAAGAAACTTTTCCCCACAGCTCTGACCTATACGAGCCATAGTCCATTGACCTTGAGACCAGAACTAGGCTCTTTCAGGCTCCCACTACTACCCTAAGTCCACCAGAGGTAGTCCTTGCAGAATGAGAGAAAAACCTGGAATACACCCAAATTCTTACTAAGTCTAGACGTACTGGACCAGTTGAGATTGGAGGACTGAGTAGTACTAGAAACAGAACCACCAGTTTGCGGTTAAAGAGAATGTTAACACCTTGTGAAAAAGATAGCCAGTGTAACTCTGCAATTTATGTAGAAGGTGTCAATGTGAACCTAATTTTCTATGTAAACTTTAATGAGAACATAACAAATATAAATATATATTCATATATGTATTTAAATCCACTCTGGAAGTTACACAGACATAAGGATTAAATTGTTTGGGAGACAGCAATGGATTAATGTGTCTGAAATGAATGAGCCTGTTCTGCCAAATGATGAAGAACTCTCCTAAGTTTGTTCATGACCCTACGCTTTGACTCTGAGTCAGATTGCTGAACAGAAACACTGGTGAGGAATGTTCTCCTCAGAACAATCAGCTATACAAGACCAAAAGGGCAGTATTTTCCTTAAAACAAATTTCAGAAGGTGAGAAAGATGGGCTCATGGAAACAGGGAACCCAGGGAGCAAGCAAGAAGTATACTGTAACACTGAGGTGACTGCAACTAATGTCGCAAAACAAAATGTATATAAATTGTTGAATAGACGATTGATTTGTTTTGTAAACTTTCACCCAAACTGCGAAAATGAATGTATTTTTCCCCCTTTTTTGGTAATTTTTTTAAAAATCAAGCTAAATTACTCTGCATGCAAAAACCAAGAGACTTTCTGGAAGAAAACTCTCTGCTGCTACGAAACCAGAGATGACCACATGCTGGAAGCCTTAGACTTGCAAGAATGACAAAGGCCCTGACAGGATACAGCCATGGCCCAGAAGACACTGTTCCATGGTATGTTTACAGAGAATGTCTACTATTAGTGTGAGGTAGATGTAATACCACTTTAAAAGAGTAAATTACTATACCATTCCAAAATATTAATGTTTAATGAAAACATAAATATTGCAAAGCTTATTGAGGTAAAACAAGAAAATTACAAATTCCATGCAAGGCAAAAGATTGTATTTGTGATGATAGAGTGAGTTCAGTGTTTAGTGCTAATAAACAGACATTATATTTTCAGCGAAGGAATAAAATTAGATTTGCAGTAATAAATGTCTCAAAGCAAACCAGAGTAATGTGCTTGTCATTTTTCTTCCATTCTTTTCAGACCTACTTATTTGCTTTAAAACCTAACCTCAGTTATCTGGCTTAATATTTAAACCTTTTTCTCAAATAAATGTACATAGGTTTAAAACCATATACATGAAACTTCTCAAAAAAGAAAAAAATCACTTAATAATCTGCTTTGTAACTTAAAGTAATGAATTTAGAAGGGATCTTTTAAGTTAAAAAGTTATGGTTACTGAGCAGAAAAGAATTTTTAAACATATTTTATTGGCATTATTATTTTCATGTGATAATCATTCTTTCAGAGTTGAAAATGTGTCATAAGTGCTATCATCCTTCAGATGAATTCACTTTAAACACTACCAATGAGCCATAATACTTATAATTCACAAAAACTGTCTTTTAAAACCATCTCAAATAGCATATTCTTCACAAGCCTGGTTTTAAAAATAAAAAGTTGAAGATGATCTTTTATTACCTATTTTCTATATTGTCTATAATTAAAATTTTTAAATTAAAACAGTTAAAAAATACTTTGTGTATTTTTTGCCATATGCCATACATATGGCAGTGAAAATTTCATCCCAGGATTGTATTTTTAACCTATGATCATTAATTTTGAAATAATACTTTTAAAATACACCAGAAGACCTAGATATGGAGTCTAAGAGTAAAGATTACAGAAGTGTGGATAAAAACAAAACAAAATTTGCCTTTAAAGATTATGTTATTAAGAAGAAAACAAGTGTTATCTTATTAAGTCATTTGAAATAGTTTCCAAGGAAATGGCATCAATTCATAACAAAAATTATTGTTTTCAGTGGACAAAGATAAACTATTTCCTGATAACATGAAAGGGGGAGAGGTTTTTAAACATAAAAACATATGCTGGAAAATGTGCATCTGAATATATCCTTATATTAAAGTTTAAAAAAACAAAAAACTCAAATACCCTGTCTTGATAGGTAGCACTTTGCCAGTCTTTGCTCATGAGAATATCCAGAGAGTAAGTATGCTTCTTGTAGGGCACTTTCATACCACTTCTTCCTCTTCTTACATTGTCCTGGCTATGGGGACACACAAAAACAATCAGATTCATTTCAAAATAGACAATTTCATTGCCATAAATGTAAAACTAAAATGACTTTTGAGAACAGAATATTACTTCAATTTTTGGTATCTACTTATAATTTCTAAGAGTCCTGGATACTTCATTATTTTTTAGATACAGCATGTTAATAGCAAAAATACTCAGATTCTTGGTTAATTGAGATAATATTACAATAAGATCCATCTCACGCTTTACAAGTTATAAAAAGTTACGCCCTCTTTGCAATAAAGTCCCCAAATCCACTGCTACTGAGTCCATTCTGACTCATAGAGATGCCACGTAGTTTCTGAGGCTGTAAAGCTTTACAGGAGCAGATAGATTCATCTTGCTCCCACGGAGAAGTTAGTGGATTGGAACCACAAAATGCAGTTAGCAGTTCAATACTTACCCGACAGACATAGTTATCATTAGTTCATTTTATTAAAGTTACATTAATTCCCTTTAAGGGAAATTACACTGCTACTGAAATGGTAGATGTTAACAGCAAGATTTTTTGTTAAAGAAAATTACTATTATCCATTTCTACTTTTGGCCTTATGCCAGATATCTTGATATATGCATGCAACTTAAAGATCTATGCCCTAGCTTCTTCATGTGTAAAATATGGGTGATAACAATGCACACAATAAGTATTTTCATGAGTATTAAATGAAATAATATATGAAACAATTTTCTGGCATAGTACACACTCAATAAGATATCTTATTCTACTTGGATAGCTCGTTATTTTTTGAAATTGTTATTTAAAAATTCATATTTTGGAAAGAGACAAAATAAATGAATCTGTGTTTAAAGTGTCTATAAAATATTAAGTTTAATGATTTTTACAAAGTTATTTTAGAATTTACAAAAAATGGTGTGATAATGTTTTAAATGTTACAGTTCATAAAATTCAGGTTGCTATTTGACTTTTAAAAAAAACTTTAACAACAGTAAGAATACTGGTGTTACAAGTTACATAATTAAAAAAACTATTTGGTAACTTTAAATATAATAAAGGTTTAATATCCAGAATACATAAGTAAGTCTTCCTTCTCTATAAAAACAAATAACCCAATTTAAAAGTGGGCAAAGGACATGAATAGACATGTCCCTAAAGAAGACATACAAATGGTCCAAATCACAAAAAGATGCTCAAAGTTGCTATTAAATTAGGGAATGTAAATCAAATCATAGTAACATAGTAACTCATCTTATGATGCTGCAGCTAATGGTTATTATAAGAAAAATGGAAAATAACAAGTGTTAATGGGGAAAAATGAAGAAATTGGAATTTGTGAGCATTAATGATGAGAGTGTAAAATAGAACTGTTGTGGAAAATACTTAGGTAGTTCCTCTAAATGATAACACAGGATTACCAGATGACATATCAATTACTTTCCTCAGCATAGAAAGAGTTTCAAAAAGTTCATAGAGAAATTAATTTAAAAGATGACAGAATTTTTCCAGAAACTTTTTGACATTCCCTCAAATGCCCAAGAGAAGTGAAAGCAGATACTTTTACACCAATGCTCATTGCAGCACCATCCACAATAGCCAAAAGGTGAAAGCTACCCAAATGTTCATCCACACATGAAAGGAGAAGCAAAACCTGGTATATCCATACAATGAAGCAGTATTCGGCCACAAAGAGGGGAAAAAATTCTTGTATAAGCTACAACATGAATGAGACTTTAAAACATTACACTATATTAGTCAGAAAAGGACAAATATTGTATAACCTTACTTACATAAAATACTTAAAATAAACAAATATAGAGAGGCAAAAGTTTATTATAGTCTAAAGTTTAATAGTGGGAATTATGAGTTTCCTTCTAGGGTGAAGATAGGCTTCAGAAATATGAGGGGGTAGTGAAAAAAACACAAATTTTTTCAAAGCAATGTATTGAAATGTTTTTACAAAGCAATCTTATCACTTTCAAAGTGCTCTCCATGACACTTAATATGTTTATCAAATCTGCGATTCCATTTTCAAGCTCATTTGTTTGCATGGCTAACAGCACCTCCCTTGTTTTTTTCTTCACCTCTTCTACGTCTTCAAATCACTGTCCTTTCATGTCCATCTTCATTCACGGAAGCAAAAAGAAATCTCACGGAGCGAGGTCAAGTGAATAAGGGGCATGAGGCAAGAGAGGTATGCTGGTTTGTCAAAAACTAGCACACTGAGATGGCTGCATGAGCAGGTGCATTGTTGTGGTGGCACAACCAGTCCCCCCACCTGCCACAAATCAGACATTGGTTGTCACACTGTTATATAATCTTTTCAGAACCTCTAAATAGAAAAGTCTGGCCTGCCTGGTGGAACAAACTCCAAATGCACTATCCCCCTCACATTTAAAAAAAAAAGAGCATCCTCTTCTTGATTTTACTTGATGAGCTTTTTTTGGAGTGGGGGGCGGGGGTGAGGTGATGATAGCATCTCCCACTGGCTTGATTGATACTTGCTTTCAGGGTCATAAGAATAGCACCATGTCTCATCACCAGTAATAACCTTAGGACAAAAGTCTGGGTAGCTTCAGAGCTGTTCTTTCAAAGCACAGCATGTTTCCACTTGAAACTCTTTTTCCTGGTCAGTCAGAACCCGAGGCATACATTTTACAGCAACCCTTCTCATTCCCAAATCTTCTGATAAAATTTGCTGAGCCAAGCTCCAAGATAGTCCATATAACTTCCCCATCTATTCAGTGGTCTGTCTTCAGCCCTCGAGCACAAGTGCACGAATTTTGTCGACATTTTCATCCATCAACTACCTGAATGTCCAGAATGAGGTTTGTTATCAATCGACATTTTGCCATTTTGAAATGAGAAAACCACTTGTACACTTCAGTTGTTCCCATAGAGCTCTCCTGATAAGCTGTGTTCAACATCACAACAGTTCCTGCGGCATTTTTCCAGAGCAGGAAACAAAATTTCACAGCTACATGCTGGTCTCTTAAATCGACCATCACAAAAAACAATGTTTGAGCAAAGCTACTTTTACGAAAAAATTTGCTGTGACAGAGAGAACCTTCTCTCTGCCTTGAATTTACCCAGTCCAGCAGACCCCTGAGAAACTAGCTTTGATTCCTTTTTAAAAAAGTAAAACCCGAAGAAGACAAGTGTAGTATGAAGAGAACGTGTCTGCAGCCATCCACTGCTCACAGAAACACGTTTAAACACATTATGCTTGGAATAAACCTGGGCAGGTATGGACTGCAACCCTAGTAGCAATACGTTTTCACCCTCATAAAATATATAATCTTCGCATCTTCCACAGTACCTGTGTTAGACAAGGTTCTCTAGAGAAACAAAACCAGGACATTTATGAATATATAGATATAGACCCATATATATATGGATAGACATACACAGTATGAAGGAATTTATAACACCTAATTAGTCCACACAGCAGTTCAGAGAGCTCAGTTCAACTCATTTCCGTAAAACAGTTAATATACTGGAAGTCCTTCAACTCACAAGGGCTGCTCAGTCCAAGGTCAAGAAAGCAGACAGTTGAGTCTTCTGCAGAACAATGCAGGCAATTTGGCCAGAGGCAGCAAACAGCAGGGTAGGTAATCAACAGTCAGACAGATGACAGGAACCGACAGTTTCCAGCTCAAGCAATGTAGACACCAGAAGTGTGGGGAAGCAGGTCTCGAAGGAACCTCAAGCTCTAGCTACACGGTCCACAGGATGAGTGTCCCACAGGTAATGTAGCGTGCAAGTGGAGGCAGAGAACTAGCTAAGGCAGCTGCACACTGGTCTGATCACCAGAGAGTAAGAGAGAGGCGGGGCTTGCTAAGCCATTTATCTCTTTGCCCTCCAATCAAACTGAAACTTTATTAATCCCACATGTTCTTATTGGCCTCGTTGGCACAATAAACCAACCTATCACAGTACCCAGTTCCTAACTTAGTTGATTGTACACTATAAAAGCAACCAGTTAAACCAAACCCACTGCGACTAAATTGATTCTGACCATTGTAGCACATAGAACTGCTTTACAGTTTCCCAATCTAAATGTTAGCAAGGGCACACAGCTGCAGGAGTGCTCGAACCACTGACCTTGTGGCTAACAATCCAATTCATAGCCACTGTGTTTAAACTCTTAAATAAAATTCACTACCCTTGCTTGAGTCACTTCTGACTCATAGGGACCCTATAGTACAGGACAGAACTGCTTCTGTGGGTTTGCGAGACTGTAACTCTTTAGCAGAGTAGAAAGCCTACTTTCTCCAGTGGAGCTGCCAGAGGGTCACATCAGCGGATAGCAGCCCAACAGGCCACCCACTACAGGCTACCCACCAGGGCTCCTTAGACATTGACATACGTGGTTGTTAAAGGGATTCAGTCAGTTAATTTGGATAGTGATTAATTTGATTAAAAAACACTGAAACAATATTATCAAGCAAAAATCTACTTTGAACATAGAATCTATAAACCTCACTCATTAAACAATCTAGGAAAAATGATGACAGGATGGAAAAATAAAATCCAATAACCCTTTAGATAAAAACTTATTAAAGTATTTCAGAGTGCTGGTGGCACAGTGGTGAAATGCTCAGCTGGAAACCTAAAGGGCTGAGGTTTGAACTCATAAGCTGCTCTGAAGGAGACAGAAGTGATGTCATCTTCGGTAAGGACTCCAAACCAAACTCACTGCTATCGAGCAAATGCTGACTCATAGCGGCGCAGTGTGAGTTGCCGAGACTCTAATTAATTGTGAGTTTCCCAGTCTCTAATGTTTATGGAATAGAAAGATCAGGATTTCTCCAGCAGGCCGGCTGGCAGTTTCGAACTGCCGGCCATATGGATTGCAGCCCAGCGCAACCACTACACCATCACGGCTCCTTTCAGCAAAGATTACAGTCATGGAAATATGATGGGGTGGTTCTCTGCTGTATTATAGAGTTGCTGAGTTAGAATCTGAGTCTAAAGCAATGGAATGCTGTTTTGTTTTTGTTTGGTTTGGGCTT